CGAGGGCCCGACCCCCGCTATGTGAAATAAATACACAAGGACACGTGATATAAGGTTAATGGGCAAGGAAAGGCCACAACTTTATTGATTACAGCAGTGAAAAGGTATTGGCTTAGGCATTGGATGACTATAGGAGGTGGGTTTATTCAACAGTAGGTGGAGCCTGTTGATGCCAATCCAACTATAGGCTCGCCCCCTGATGTCACCGAGGGTCGTGCCATGGCCTCCCGCCAAGCAGGCATCAGACGGAATACACGACCGCCAGATTCCTTTAACGGAATAACCCACGGTAGATAGCATAGGCGATGGCCACACCTAGCCCTTGACACAGCACAACACATGAATCCAATGCCTAACCTACCCACCAATACCAAAAAAGTTGTGACGATTGCTACGAGGTAGGCGAAAAAACCAAAAAGCCTAATGCCAAATGGAAAAATTCCTACCAGGCCCCCCAGACAACCGGGGCGACCAACCTAAGGTCCATAGCAAGGCCAAAAACCTAGACCCTGAGCTAAATGGGAGTGGAGGGTGGGTGACTTGCTGAGGGACGACGACGAATGAGGAGGAGGCGGAGCTGGCGTCACAGCATTAAGCTGCTACACACGCCCCCCTGAGGCACCTGGTTGGCTGCCTCCAGTGGGCGTGGGCGCCAGCCAGGTAAGGAGGGGAGGGGGCTAAGGCCCCCTACCAGGGGCGGAGCTCGGTCTCCCGCCCACAACCACTCCCCTCTCTTCCAGGGAGGAGAGTCTTTCTAATATATTGTCTAAATCTTCCTATTGTCTTTCCTTATTGGAACTTGCATTTACTATCGTTAATAAATTTTAAGAAAAGTTACGCCTTAGATATGTTTCAGTAGTAATTAAGTTTTAACTGCCCACTCCCACCTCTTGCCCTGTTTCTTTGAGCTGTTTTTCACACAACTTTTAAGACTGCTTTTCCAGTACAAACTTAGATATGTATATATTTCTACAGAGGAGAAAGAAATATGGTGAAAATATGGGTGTGATGTGCTATAGTCATGATGTCAACAGGTGAAGCTTGTGTCTGTAAAACCGCAGGAGAACCCTTCCTGGGTTTCAAGAAATATGCTGCTTCTGATGTTTGCTGTTGTTTCCAAACTCTGCAAATAGTGATTTGTCCAAGCCAGTCTTTTAACAACCCAGGATACTGATATTCTGGCTTGTTAAGCTGTGATTTGAACAAACCACTATTTGCAAACACGGCAACCAAACATAGCTTGCTCCTTAGTGCAAAAGAAACTTTTAACTCAGAAGGCCCATAGCTTAGTGGTAGGGCACATGCTTTTCATGTAAAAGATCCTAGGTTTAGTCTGGCATCTCCAGGTAGGACTGGAAAGAGTCCTGCTGGAGAAGTTGCAAGTCAGTGTTGGAACAACCAAACTAGGTGGAACAATATTCTGATTTGGTAAAAGGCAGCTCCCTACTTCCCTGAACCTCATTCCTTCATGAGTTTAATGCTGGCTTATGTGTCATAATAAACACCCATGGTTTCTGCCTGAACCGGGCCTCTGAATCCAGATAAAAGAGTGCCCAAAATCTGCTCAACTGAGAGAGATTCATACAGTGATAGCACAAAATATGATTGGAGAGAAGAGATTATTTCAAATTGCCTCCACTGCTTGCATATATATATGCAGTACTGAAAATGTTTTTGCTTAATTGTCCTGGAGACCTTGATGAGTGTTCAATCTCCTTTCATCCTCTTTTTGTTGGTTTTTGGTTGCTTGCTGCTGATGCCACGACCACTCATTCACAAACAACGCGTTGAATTCCGGAACAAATGTACACATGCTGTCCTAAGAGTGCATTGTAAATAAGTATGAGATTCATGAACTTTCTGGATGATAAAGCACTTTAAGGCTATGAGATCCTGAACATGTTTGCTTGGATGGCACCTCTGCAACAGAAGGGATTTTATTCCATGGAGATAGGTTTAGAACTGAAGTATAAACAATGGAGTAAATAGCCTTAGAAAACTGAATAAAATGTCCTTTTTTGAATTATTATAGAGCTCTTTAAACAAAATTCTGTATATAACTGCTTTCATATCGAATCTATTTCATGGTTTATTCATTACATATTGCGCTGAATAACAAAATTGCAATGCAGTCCCATGCAGGACTGTCTGCTCAGAAAGAGGCACCGTTGTTGTGTTTGTAAGTAGCATTAGGACTTACTTTCAGGCAATTGTGTGTAAGACTGCAGCCTTAGTTTTTCTTTTGGCACCTCACTGCTTTCTTTGTTTTGATCAGAACATCTGATATTAGATAGTATGTTAATCTTATGAAAGCAATTGCTCTACTACAGCCACAGTTCATTTAGTATTGTCAGCAATTGGACAATTTTTCATGTAAAGAAATTGGTCCCTTTCACCCTTCTGCTTGTGAAAATGGAATGACCCATTTTCTCATTTGAGGAAAAAGGGATTATATAATCCACTGAGCTGTAGGAAGAGGATAGTTTAAGTGACATCTGTAGGCCTGAGCATCATGAATTCTTTTCAGGAGAAATTGGGATGTATTGGCAGAAAGTGCTATGTAATCAGTGTACATGAAACATTTTTAATTCATGATGCTGTCTGAAGAATGATGTGCATAAATCATTTCCGCTAAATCAGTGGGATTTACTTTAAGTAGATGTATTTAGGGTCAGTGGCCACTAGCCATGATGGCTCTGTTCTGCCTCCACTGTTCAAGGCAAAATGCCTCTGAATACCTGTAGGAATCACAAGTGAGGAGAACACTGTTCTGTTTGGGCCCTGCTTGTGGGCTTTTTCAGGGACAAATGTTGGCCATTGTGAGAACATTATGCTGGATTAGATGGGCCTTTGGCTTGATCAAGCAGGATTCTTTGTAAGTTCTTGCACTCCTAACGCAAACAGAGATACTCATGTGACTGGAAGGGCCGTGACTCTTCCTAGGTATGAAGAATGGTTTTGGAACTGACCCTTAGTTAATGAAGTAGATCTCAAACATTAAAATGTTTTATTCTCCCTCTATTCTCTTCCCCCCATCCCCAATATAAAATACTGGATTATATGCAGCCGTCATGCCAGCTGCAAGTTTTTGTTTGGCTTGCAGAGTAGCAAGCTGAGACTTCTCCATTTTGGAAAACTTTAAAAAGTTTCTAGTTTCCATGATACAATTATATGTTTATTGCCAGGTAAAGCATAAGCTTTTCCATTTACTGTCAAAGCGTGGCTGACTATAGTTCAATACAACTTTTTATTCTTCTTTCCGTCATTTTTCCTGTATGTTTCTGCTAGCAATTAATGCTTACTGAAGGCAAGTGGCTAAAGTAGTTAGGAGTAGCTTTTTTATTTCATTTTAGTGGTCGGGCTCAGCCATAGGCTGAAAATTGAAGTGAGTAGGGAGCCATGCGTGCCATGGAGTTGAAGACAAAAAGAGCACTTCTGGAATTGGAGACAAAGAACAAGCAGGAACCAGAGTCCAGGAGGAGCAGTCAGGACAATGCCAGAAATCAGAAATGAAGGACAACTAGAGGATACACAGGAACGCACCAGAGCTCTGGAAGGAGTTGTTGCTCAGGCTTCACTGAGACTGGAAAGACTTTTAGAGTCCTTACAGTTCAGAACGGTCCATTGACCAGCCTGAGGCCACCTGGAGTTCTCTGGCTCCAGAAGCTCCCAGTTCAGACCCCAGCAGCTCCTGACACCTGTCTGTGTGAGTTTAGAGTATCTTGTTTTAGTTTCTCGGTCTTTTCTAGGTTATTGCATTAGTACAAGGTTAGCTAACATAGTGGCCTCTATATATTGTTGGGCTTCACATTATCCCTGGTCATGCTGGCTGGGGCTGATGGGAGTTACTGCCCTCCAGCTGTTGCTGGAATGTTGACCAGCCCTGTGTTAGGAATGATTGCACACTGTTAATTCAGAAGGGTGGGGGAATGAGAAGCCTTAAAAATATGGTTGACACAGGCAGTGGCCTAGTCCGGTGTGCCTTGTATTGTAATTATAATCGTCCACTACTGAGATGTCCTATATTATGGAATGTGTACTCACAGTCTTTGCTAATCAATGCTATGTTTTCATTTTTATAGTCTGTTTTTGGCCTGCTTAAGTTCCATACAGTGCACTTTTCATATATTTTGTGCAGCATTGTTGTTTTTGAATAGATGTTACAAACCCAGGGCAGTAGGATATGTTCCAAATGGGCTCTGAATTCCCTTTTAAAATAAATTAAAAGTCTGGCAAAGGTGTTTTTTGGCTGTGATCTATTTTTCATTCCTTTATGAAATATATAGTTAATGGTATACATAACCAATAGTGGAATAGTTAATATTCAGGAAATTCTGTCTAGTCAAGGGAGGATGCTTTACTGAGGCTGAGCACCTGTATGCTCATGGAAGCCAGTCCCACTGACTGGGTGAATTTTCAAGGTGAGGCCTGGCAACTTTGTCTACTCAAGAATAATTTGAGATTATATAGCTCTCTTCTGGGATGCTTGCTATAGAGTGTTTATTGCCTTTTTATTTTGATAAATGTCTGCCATAAAATATCATGTGACAGTAAATTTCTCCAATTACATTAAAATTTAGACATCTTTTATTTAGAGACTGCTTGAGCATCTTAAAATATAATGAAGTGGTTAGTTACAACAAGATTCCCATAAATATTCATAGCAGATTGTGTGAATGTCTCTCTGAACATGAATTTTGCAGTATTTGGTAACTGGGGATTTAATATTTTGTGTTGAACTCTCTGAATTGTCTTATCGGCATACCGTGCTGAGTTTTTAAAAGTTTGGTGTAGAAAATAAACAGTATATACAAAGATTTATGTTCTAGGGAATGTGAAATATTTTATCTGATAAAAAGTACAAGTTTAAGTTCCGTGATCTACAAAACATCTTAGAGCAAGGTGCACCTGAACTTCCTTCTTTTTCTACGCTTCTTGTTAATTAACCTGGTCCATCTCTCTCTCTCTCTCCCCCCCCCCCCAATTGCTGCTTGGAGTAGCTTTCGCTCCCAGAGGAACAGAATGAAGTAACAAGGAATGGTTGTGAATCCAAGGAACTAGTTTATCTTGTACAGATCTCTTGTCAGGTAAGCATTAAGACTTTTCTTTACCTTCCTCATGAATTTTATGAAATACTGCATGTGCTATATGATATTCTGCTGTCCTGCTTTTTCACATTTCCACTCTTTGTTGTGGAATAAGAGGAATACTGAAGATTTAATCAGGAGAAATGCTGAGATTTTAATGAGAAATGTAAACTTCTGCTATATCAGTTGCAACAATATTTATCCTGGAATTGCAGTCTCATGCGTATATATGTGTCCTTGTGTCTCTGTAGTGATTGCACATGTAGTGAGGTTATTTGTATTCCTAAACTAACCAATGAAATGATGGTTCAGGATTTAACATTCAGTTGTCAGAATATTGTGGCTCATTTCCTAATTTTTGAAACTTGTGCATTGAGCAAAGCTACTCAGTGGACCGAAGCAGGGCGTAACAATGTCAGAAATTGAAGATGGCAGATGACCCTTAATACAACCTATTGAAGCATTTGTTTCTATGCCTGGCAAAGAACTTTTGAGGATCAAAATGAAAATGTGGATTAACCTTTTGTTGATTATCTCTTACTTGCCTAGTGTCATCTCCTGTGGAATCTGTTAGGCTGTACCCGTGGTTGTCACCTTGAAAAACCTGGGCAGTTATTCCTATCTGCATGAGGTGCAGGCGTTTCAGCTAAATACCAGTCGTTGAGTGCGTAGGTCATATTTCTCATCTGTAGAGTTGAACAAAGCAGAATGCTGTTACTAATCGTTCTAAGACGCAAGGTTTTGAGAGGATAGCACACACGTAAACCATTTTATTTTACAGCTATTCAGTCTGTAAAGTAGGGAGTAGTGGGAACAGAGGTGAACAACCTGCATGAAGACAAAGATTCAGCAGAGACCAGACAGCCTTTCCTCAAAGTGAAAAGCAGGACTAGACTCTGCATGTTACACTACAGAGTGAAGTATTCTTAGTTCTCTGGATCAACTGAGAATCCACAATGATTATCCTGGGCATGGTAGTTGGCACACTTACTGTACATGATCAGCAATGATCCTGCTCAGTGGTGTCAAGTTCAGCAGGGAGCAGTTGATGTGCCTTCAGCTCCAGTTTTCTGTCTAGCAGACTCTGCAGTTCAGGAGCTGTGTCCACATGTTAAGAGTTATGCTCATTTAAACCAAGAGAGAAATGTCTGGATTATTTGGCTTGTGCTTGGTACCATGTTAAGACACGTGGGGCCATCAGAGGACTAGAGCAGCCTGGGCAACCCATGCAGCCAATTTTTGTGGATGCTTTAGTTCAGGGGTTCCCAAAATGTGGTCCACAGATTATGAGTGCTCCATGAGTGGTCTGCAGTGCTTACTCATTTAATTTTCATATTTTATTTTCTATATTAATTTTCTTGTATTATAATATGAGTTCTATGGAATTCAAACTGTAATACAATGAAGTACAATATATACAATTAAAATACATGCAGTATCTAGCACAACACATATTTCCTGTGTTCCCAACTCTATTCTATAAAGTCTGATGGCCTGTGTAAATGTGCCCAGGCAATTGCTTTTGAATCAGTCATCAACATCAGGTCAAAAAAGTTGGAACAGCTATGAAAGGAAATTAATATGGGATAATCACTATAAATGACAACAGATATTGGGCTTGCTGCAGTAGTTTTTGAAGCGTTCTAAGATGAAATAAGCCATTGAAATGGTGTAATAGTTTTGATTGCATCCAGAAGCTAGCTTGTTAGCTTGGCCCAAATCTATATACTTTTCAGTAGTTTTAGCTCTTTAGGAGCATTTTGCTGCAAATGAAAGTAGCATTGTGGAAAGCAAAAGAAATGAGTCATCCCAGCACTGCTGTTTAGAACTCCTGGACTGGAAAACCTGTTACATTCCCTTCACTGAGTAGCCTGTTGAAAGTACTTTAGTTTGTCAACTCAATCTGCAGCAGATAATCAGACAAAAAACTTTCAAGCACTGCTACTTTAATGTGCCAGCTCAAACTCTGCCTGACTTGGCAGAATCCCATTAAACATGTTACAGTCTGGAAATGTTTATTTTGGAAGGAGGGGGTGTTGTTGTGCATAATAAGTTTTTATGACATGCTTTTTCCTTGGTGTTAAATATTGTTTTACAGGTAATTGAGGAGTTGCTTGAGTCAAGTGAGAGAGTGCTGGGGAGCTTATCAGTGTCTCCTCTCCAAACCCAAACCTCACTAATTTCTGCTTCTCCTTACTCCACCCCCACCTCACCTGATGGTTACTGGTCAGATGCCAAATCCCATGGTCAAATCAGTGTGAGGACTCCCTTTTCAGTTGCTTCTTTCCTCCCTTGGTGAGAGGAATAGGACAAAGAGCATATAAACCAGAAGCCTATTTCTGATCTCTTCCCAGATACAGTCCCTGGTGGACAAAATTGGGGTAGACTGAATTGGGGTGGAAATATAGGTGTGTGTGTGTGTGTGTGTGTGTGTGTGTGTGTAAGTGGCCAAAGATGAATGGAAAGGCTATTTCTGCTAAGTAAATTTGGGAATCCAATCACCTGGAGGTAAATTCTTCCAGCAGTTCATTGACTAGCAAATTATACTACAGTTGCCCTAAATACACTTTCTCCATATCTTTTTCCATTTCCTCACAGATGAAACTGTGGTGTGTGGGTGTGGGTGTGGATGTGGAAAAGCATCACCAGCACTTTCTCTTTCATGTAATTCATATTTTGTTTACAGTCGCTACATATGTCAGGCATAGGCAAACTCGGCCCTCCAGATGTTTTGGGTTGGTCAGGGATTATGGGAGTTGTAGTCCCAAAACATCTGGAGGGCTGAGTTTGCCTATGCTTGACATATGTTAAACCCCTCTTTAGCTTAGAGAAGTCCAGGTTAGACTCTACCATTATATTTAATCTCCTTGGTTTTGTCTTTAGTGCTCTGAGTTATGTGTTAGGCTATGTTGCCATTATTATTTCACCTTTCTTCACTTAGCTTTGTGAACACTTACACAGTGTTCCTTAAGGGGAGTCTGTAGCTTGACATTTTTACACCAAGCACACCTAGTTTCTTCTGATAATAGCAGCATTTGCTTATTGTTGTAAACCATAGCTTATGGTTTACCATGAATATGCAGATGGCCCCCGTATCACTCCTACCTTAGTGCAAACAGGAACAGCAAGCCATAATCCTTAGTTTGGTGCTATGTTCCAAGCAAACCATGACATTAAGTCAATGTTCTTGACTTAACAATTTTTGTTTGAACAGAACAGATATCTGTCCTCAGTTTAGACATAATACTAAACTTGTGCTAGAGGTGGAGTGATACGGGAGCAATTTCCATTTTAACAGTAAACTGTGGTTTAAAATGAAGTGCTAATTCAAGCAATATGACTTTCAGGGTATATATTTTTGAAAAAAAGATGTGTTCATATGAGAAGAGCTGTTCCTCATTTAGTATTAATACAGCAGTCCAATAACATTGAAGCAATGAGTATATATACTTTGACACATGCAGTGCTCCATGTCAAGTGAAACTTGAGACAAACATTCTGGGTTCGGCTGGCAACTCAATACTATTAATCCCCCCAAAGTAGTAGAATTTTAAAAAACCACACCTGCAATTTTATTTTTTATAATACAAATATATCAAAATGGCAATGAGCCAGCATAGCATAGAATCATAGAATAGAATCATAGAGTTGGAATAGACCACAAGGGCCATCGAGTCCAACCCCCTGCCAAGCAGGAAGTTGACCCATTTCTGCCAACATCTATACTAAGGAGTCATTGTATGGGGGGGTGGAGGCAGTTGTTAACATGAAAATCCATTTTTATTTTCAAAAACCTGGAGTGTTGCTGGAAAACATACTGTATTCCATGGGATGGACAGCTGTGCAAAAGGCAGAAACATGGCAAGATTGGGTTGGCTCCCAAGTAGGTTGGTTTGACTGCAGTGAAATCTAGCACACTTACCTGGATTCAGCCATTGTGTGTTTTTACAGTTGTACTACCAAAGCCAAACATGATCCAATTGCATTGTAACTATTAAGTTTAATTTAAATATATGGTGGCTTTAGTTTGGCTACACACATGCACTCACAGAGCATTTGTATCCTGCTTTCAGCTGAAAAGGCTTCTAGAGCAGTTTACGTACAATAAATTAAATCAAGACTTGCCTACAGGCTGACAATCTAACGGGCATGACATGAAAGGAAAAAGGGGTGGGGAGGGAAAAGGGGGGTAATGGTTCTACCTCCCATGACCACTGTTGCCCAATAAATGACATGTTGTTATAATTAGATATGGCACTTGACTGTCCTGCAGGAGATCATCTTGACATTTTGTAGCAAGTTTTTAATATGCTACTGTAATATCCTTCTTGTTTTCAGAAGAAAGAAATTGTTATTTTAAAAAGGCTTGAGGAAGATATTTCTACAAAGAATAATTCTCTCCATGTTTGATTTTTTGATATTTGTTTGTTTGTTTATTATGAAAGGACATGCATTTCAATAACTTACAAGAATGTGTGGTGTCATGCACACTTTCTCCTTAGTTTGTTCTGAAAGGCTTTCTGAAACAGAATTTGATTAATTCTTACTTCCATATATGCTGGTATATCAAAATGCAAGTACTAACTCCTGTCAAATAGCTCTTGTATCGTTTTATCACCCTTGGTTGATCTACTAGTCTCAACCTTACTTGGATGGAGATATTCGTAAGAGTTATATTACCTTGCTGTGCATTCATTAGTGACTTGAAGATGGCAACTTGTTTGTTGCTTGACATTATCATCACACCCATCAGTAAAATTAAGTTAAAGTATTAGAAATGAAGACACCATAGGACCTTGAAGGGCATTAGAGAAAGAACTGCAATGGTGCAGTTAAATGTAGAATCATAGGAGCATGCTTCCCTGTAATGGATAGGTTCAGATGGATAACAGTTAATTCCAGTTCATTGTGTGTCTAGAGAGAAGTGTCAATTAAACCAATTAGCTTATATCTAAATGTATTTCATTTAAATATGAAGGGAAATTGGAAATCTCTGTTGA